CCCGGGAGGGTGAGCACGGCCGTGGGCATCGGGACGGGCAGCTCCTTCCTCCTCGACCCGGGTGGCCCGGGAAAGAGGTTCCTTTGTGCCCAACTGCAGCCCCCCAGGGCGGCTCCTCGGGCAACCCCCATGCCCTGCTGTGCTGTACCAGCGCCGGGCACAGCTGGGAACGAGCCAAGGTGTCAGCCAGCCTTGGCTTCGGCCCTGGCTGGCGGTGGATGCTCGAGAAAGAGAAGGAACATCTCAAACGCATCCTCTGTCTCCTGATAATCTCCTCCTTTCCTACTGTTTTCGGCTCCCAAACCATTACTAACCCCTCCCGGCTGTTGTCCTGCCTTTGTGCAGATCCCTGATCCGCCTTCCGACCGCCCCTAGAGACGTCGTTATAATCACAAGCAACTGTCCAGCACCGAAGGGCTTGGTTTTTTTGGCTAGGAGGGCCAAGGCAAAACATGGCTCGGTGGTGGTGTTCGTGTGCAAGATGGCTTTTTAAGCGAGGCCTCACTACCTCGCCTTTCAGCTGCCTTCACGGTTGTCTTGCGCAGCTGGGTGCCCGGGTCCTGCTTGTGCAGAACCTACCACAAGTTAATCTTCGCCTGCATTTCTCTTCCTTCCTTTAGTGACTTCAATCTGGCGGATTACGACTACCTGCCGGTGTCTTCTGAAATCAAAGAACTCTTTGAGTACATCAAGAGGTGAGCGGAAGGGGTTTTAGCCCGCTCCGGGCTCTGCTTTGTGCCCATTGGTATGGTAAGTTTTGCAGGACAGTTCACAGTCCCCCGTGCTGCAGTGGTGTTGTTTTTTTTTTCCAGGTACACGCCCAAAACGATAGAGATCGAGCACAAACTGCAGCCTTTTATTCCAGACTTTATTCCTGCAGTTGGAGACATTGACGCGTTCCTAAAGGTACGGTCGCTTCAGGTTCCCCTGTACCTCCTGCCACGCCAGCTGGGAGGGGACGTGGCATCGGTGTGAGAGAGGCACCAGAGGCCAGCCTGCCCCTGCAGCAGCACGCACCCTTGCCCTGCGCCGTCGGAGATGATGTTCTGGAGCGCGGTAGTGGCTCGGACACCTCTCAAACAGCGCACACGTAATTTGGGTCCAGGGCTGTGTTTGCCCTTGTCCAGCACCTTGTGCTTTTCAGGTGGCACTGCACTAGCGGCTTGTGTTCAAGAGAGCACGCCTGCCCCTTCCTTTTGGGGTCTGAGTTTTAATCCCCAGGGAGGCTCTGTACAAAATAGCCCCAACGTGCCCCGCTTTGGGCTCCCTTAGAAAACAGGCTCTCTGGTCATCTGCAGGTTCCCCGTCCCGACGGCAAGCCGGACAACCTCGGCCTGCTGGTCCTGGATGAGCCGTCGACCAAGCAGTCGGATCCCACCGTGCTCTCTCTTTGGCTGACGGAGAACTCCAAGCAGCACAACGTCACAGTGAGTCACGGAGAGGGAGGAGGCACTTGCTGCGCGCTGGCTGTAGCAAAAACATTGCATTTTATTCTTTCTTTTGTCTACGGGACTATAGCGAGGCAGCACACCTGATAGCTTGGCTTTAAAAGCAGAGAGACCCTAACCTTTTGCTTCATCTCATAGCTTTAAAGGGTGGTGGATCCAAGCCTTGCTTCAGGCAAGTCTTAGTACAGACCTGGGATCCGCTTCCTTCAGCTGAAGCTTTGCTTCCTTCTTGTGCTCACTCCTGATTTGACTCCTGGTTTGTTTCCCAGCTGCTCTTCCGTCGGCAGCAGTCAGTCGGTGTAGGGCAACTAGGAAAGAGAGAACGCGCGGTTAATCGGGAGCGAGCGCAGGGTTTGCAGGAAAGCCCCAAAACACCACAGAGGGCTTCCAGGTTTATATTTCTGTTTCTAGCAGCAGATAAAAGTGAAGAGTTTGGAGAATGCAGAGAAGAACCCCAAAGCCATTGACAGCTGGATTGAGAGTATCAGCGAACTGCACCGCTGCAAACCTCCTGCCACAGTCCATTACAGCAGGTCAGCTCTGCTTCACTCACGCTCGTACGGTGTAAGCTCAGCTCAGCGGGAGGCTGGCGGCAAAGCCTGGGAGCGCCGGGTAGAGCTCTCGCAGTATCCCCCAGAGGAAGGAGGCGGGCTGATTTTCGGGGTAGTCGTACTGTGCGCTGCACAGGAAGCTCTCTCT